GTGGAGCAAATCTACACTGAAAGGTGTATTCCCAAAACTGTCTTACCTGAAAAATATTTCAAACAGTCTTAAAAAAGATATTTTCATTTTTTTTAATTTTGTGAGTACAAGTGTATTTTAAAGTTACAATCTTACCATGCTATTTCCATTGTTATTTCTGTCATAAATGTCAGGATGCATTTTCATTAGAAAATCCCTGAGCCCTGGTATTTCTCCTCGACGGATGGCAATGCCCAGAGTGCCACTGAGATATGGCATGTGTCGGGTTGTTTGGAGTACAGCTGCTGTTGTCCAGGCTTCACTAGCCATCCACTGCAGCCCTGTTACATTCTGCTTTATCACCTATTTAGAAATATAAGGAACAAAAAGAATCTGTACATAGTCTAGGATTGAATCATTACAAATCTTGAAATCATTACATACAGGGATGGAAATTGAGATCTCAGTAGTGGTAGGAAATGTTGGTTTACTTGCTATGCATTATGCTTATTGGTTCTTTTTTGCACATGTGCTACAACCAGCTGATTTTGGTTCATGTGACAGAGGAGGAAGATAGTGGCACAGTTTGATGAAAGTAATTTTCATATCCACTATGGACATTACTTTTATTTTTTTGTCCAAAAGGACATGAGCATGACGGTAAAGTGCAAACTTCAACCTGAGCAAAAACAACTGCCTCATCCTGCTAACACAACTTCAGATCTTTACAAGCATCTGCAAAGATAGCATGCTAATGCTAAACTAGCCAAGAATCAAGCATGATGTTAAAACTGAGGGAATGATGACCCCAGCCCAGCAAACAGACCTTGAACTTCAAAAGGTAACAAAACCAGTCACGAGCAGGCTGTAGCCTCCTATTCTATCTGTTCATGTTTCTAAAGTAGAATCTCTGTGGCAATGACTTTGAAGTCTCTTTGTGCTGTTTTCATCTTTGCTTTGTGTTGTGGGCTTTGTTTTCCTACCCGAAATACAAAGAGAAAGATTATATGTGTGTCCTAATTTGGATAAGGAGTTGTGCTGGTGTGTGGGGCTGTAGCCTAAAATGCTAATTATGAAACAGAGAAAAAACAGAGAAACGCAAAAGTAATGTAGCAAGTAGTATAAAGAATTTCTTTCTCCTGAGAGTAATTAAGTAGCATACTACATTACTTTAAGAAAAGTGAGCTGGAAAATATATGTAATAAATTACTTTTTTTGACTAATGACCCCATCACTGATCACAACAAAGAATGGAAATACCTCCAGCATCCATAAACATTTGACCACACAGCATGCAATTCATTTGCATGAATATAGTGTCTGTAATATAATTTACATCTCTAATTACTAAGCAAGAGGCGGCTGATAAATACAATTTGATTTAGATATACCTCCTCCATTAGTTGAATCATGTGGATTTGATGTGCAAAGACAATTACCACACGTGCTGTGGACTTCTTCATCACCTCAACAATCCTCCTTAGTTCAGCTGAGTTTTCACCCCAGGGCAAAATTTCTGAGTAGGCAAGACAACTTCCACCAGACTGAGCCAACGCTTGTCGAAATGATCTCGCTACATGGACTCCATAATCATCATCACTTACCAGCAGACCAGCCCACGTCCACCCAAAGTGTTTTAGAATTCGAATCATTGCATGAACCTATATAAAGACCAGTGAAATTCTTAGTTTAGGCTTGAATTATATTTCAGTGCAAACAATACAATTACATAATCACAGTTTTTCTTTCTAATCAATTTGCACAGTACGTAATCCAGAAAAAAATGAAAAATTGAAAAAAAACAAACTGCGTTGTTTAGTTCGGGGTAACTTACATCAATTCACTTGCTGTAAAATACATTTGCTCTTTGTAGAAGAAAGTTTTACCTGAAAGGCATCACTTGGAATGGTTCTAAAGAAAGACGGAAACTTATGACGGTCACTTAGACAAGAGCATGTTGCAAAATAGCTCACCTATCAAAAAACACAATTGAAATCAAAACAGATTGATGCTGAGAAGCTGGAACTAATATACAATGTATATTTCCTATTTTTTCATTTTGTCATTTCTCACCCTAGTAAGAAACATTAACTTTAATACAGCATGCCAAAAGCACATGTAAAATACAGGACAGGAAACTTACAATTGGCATTTTAAATAAACCTATTACATCAGAGGTTGCAATAGAAAATGTTGAGAAGGAATCACCCACGATCCCTACAACTGGAGGGGTCCCCAAACAGTTCTCGTGAAGCAGAAACTTTTCCTCCCGACCACTGACTAATGATAATGCAGCACTGAATCCAATTACAAGTGTGGCACAGTTGTCATAAAGACTGTATCCAAGAGTCACATTAGGTAGCAGATTGGCGTTTTTGTTGATTTCATCAACAGCAAAGGCCATTGTCATGGCATGCCTGAATCCAGGAGGGTCAAACCTTGTAAAAAACAAAACAAAAAACCCCAAAAACTCAATATTGAAAATTAACAGAAAGTATAAAAATCTGCACCAGTGTTTGCTTTCATGAATTGGTGCATTTAATGCATGAATATAGTACTTACCCTTGGCAACTCAACATGTTTGGCTCTGAGGTAAACGTTAGCTCAGGGAAAACAGAGGTGTAGTGAACTTCAAACAGCCCCCCCAAAATCACATCTCCAGGTTTGTGCATCCCATTAAGATAAAACTGTCTCCTTAACTTGCAGGTTGAGAAAAGAGACTCTGAGATGAAAAAGTGGGATGAGAAGTAAATCATGATCACATAGAAATACAAGAACTTCAGTGTGTCAAAAAATGGCCCCATAATGACTCTTTCTCTTTACACCACTTTTCTTATCTTAATGAATGCTTACCTCATTTTATATCTCCTCTGGTTTCTTTTTCATTGTAGTATAGCACCACCTACATGCATATTTTATGACAGGGCATCCACTTTCTAGATACATATTAGCTCATTAGATAAAGAATACCCTAATGACAATGTCAACTTCTGGACAACTTCCAGACTATGCAGGATTTAGTGCAAGTAAAGTAGAGTAGTAAAGCAAGTAGTAGAATCAATAAATTCGGCATTACTAACTTAATATATTTTTTGCTGCTGCCCCTGCGGCATTTTTGTAGAGAAGACAAAGTTGCTATTTTTGTAAAAAAACAAAAACAAAAAACAATAAAGGCCATAAAAGTGCTGTCAAAATTAACACGTTAACACAGATTAATCAGTGATGATTAAAAATAAATAAATAATGCAATTAATGCATCTGGAGCGCAGAATGACTCAAAATCCCTGAAACGTTTCTGTCAACGCATTTCGGGCAGTTTGTCCAAGTAGAGTTACATTCGCACATGTGCAAATGGGCAGTAGGTCTGGTAGCGATGATAAATGCACATTGGCCCTCTTGATGGGAAATTTGAGTATTAAAAAAAAAACAAGACTGAACAGTTGACTGACATAAAGTCGTATGCACATTGTGGAAGAAGGAATTTTCTTCTTCAGCTTAAAATATCACATTGACGCGATGCATACATTAGCCGGGCCTGCTGCTAGGACATTGGCTAACGCGTCACTCAGCTTGCAACGAACCACCTCACAGAGTATCGGGGGCTCAGTACGTCTACCTCGCACATTTTGACTGACACAAATGGCAAGTGGATTGCAACAAACTGCAGAGCTATTAATATCGTTGAGAAAACGCGGTTTAAATAGCTTTGGTAATTATTACCATTATCTATTTGTTTCTTACTGTATTACTATTTATATTTCATTCCTGCACAGTTGGTGTGCAGCTTCCATAATTTCGCTGTGTATATGTACAGTGACACAATGTGCTGTTCCATTCTATTTTATTCTATTCTTTTTCACAGGAAAACTACTGCTTATAAAAACATTATCAAAAACATAGAAGAAAATTGGCAATGTAAATAAATCAAGTTTCTTTACTTACTTGTCTACAGTTTTATTTTTAGTACTGTTAACAATATGGAGACCAAGACTCATGCGTAGACATGTATCTTGTTGATTGTATGTTAAGCTTATTCTGTACAGCTGGCTCTGAAGCCAGTGACCACTAAGAGAAATCTAAAGAGTACTGGCCATTATACATGCCCGTGGAACCTAAATCTCCAGTTCAGTCACCCATTCTTGCTGATGTTTGCTTCCATGTTTTTACTTTACTTTTTTTGTATAGCAACAAGAACGCTGATCAGAGCACCTTAAATTGTGATTGTGATTCCAGATAAAGTAAGAGCAATTCTATCTGAGCAAGTACTGGCTGACACTGAAGAGAAAAGGTCTTTTTAACCAGAAGAGGAAAAACAGCAGAGAATATAATAGAAACAGTCATGGTTGTGTTTTTCATTTTTGGTGTATATATTAGTATTAGCCTCTTTTTTTAAGTTGTTAGTATTTTAAGATGTGTTTTTGTGATTAGGCTATATTTCAAATGTCTTCAGTTGACAGTAAAAGATGAAGTGCTCATATTTTATTTAATCATGTTGTCCACTAGGTGGTAGTAGCAGAGTGAGACTTTACAATTATAGCTTCTTTTAATATTTCTTAGTAAATTTCCAGCATTAATTTGCCAAAGACTCTGTGTGGAAATATTGTACAGTTACATGACTGCAAACATGCCAACTTAGAACTCTCAACACATAAACTGAGCTAAATGTATTAAACATCAAATGAAGAAATACTGAATGATAAGATAACTTTAGGATATCTCCAAGCCTTATCGGGGACAACGTTTTTTTTTTTGTTTTGTTTTTTTAGCTAAATGAATCCAGCTAAACTCATAGTATCTGTCAAGGCTATGTGTAATATACTCTCCTGTTTAGAGTAATGAATGACCTTTCAGACTTTTAATCAAAGACCACTGCGTAAGATCATGTCCTCTTGAAGGCGTAGAGCAGAGCTCGTTCTCTAAAACCCTATATAAATACCACTTACACACATACCTGACATCAGGGAGAGATGGCAGTCTCAGTTCTTTTAATTGGTCTGGTATCTGCTCTGTGTTTGTTTCAGCTGAACTCAGTTTTTGCCTTGGGTGTGTCTCTGGATAGTCTGAATCAAAGGAGTAGCTTTACAGGTGCTTGGGCTGGTACTGAAGCTTCATCTGTGAAATGTAAGTTGCAGGGTAGCATTCATCTACCTGCATTCTCAATGGATGGGGACTTCATTATTGGGGGTGCTTTCTCTCTTCACTCCTACACGCAAACAGTGAGCCATGATTATACCATCATGCCTGAGCCAGTAAGATGCAAAGGGAGGTCAGTATGGAAAAAATTATGAACATGTTGCATGTATTGTAATGGTAATCTTTCTTGCTGTGTGTTATCTGTATGAAATTTCATCTTAACAAAATCTATGTAGCCTACAATTTTAACAGTGAGGTGACTGTCTGTCTGCAGCATAAATGCCGATGAGCTGCAGTTGTCACATGCAATGGTCTTTGCCATAGAAGAGATTAACAACAATACAGAGCTGCTGCCCGGAATCAGGCTTGGGTATCAGATCTATGACTCATGTGCATCAGTTTCCATGACAGTGCATTTGGCATTTCAGTTTTTGAATAGCTTGGACCTTGTGTTTCACACTGGCAAAAACTGCTCCCAGTCAGGTATGGTGATGGCTGTTGTTGGTGAGTCTGGGTCTACGCCATCCATCAGCATGTCACGAATCATCAGTCCCTTTAACATTCCTCAAGTAAATACTTTAATTTTTTTTTAAACTAGGTGTTTAAAATATGCATGCACATCTGCAGTTCTTATAGGATTACCTTGTCTTCTTTTGTTTTAGGTGAGCCCCTCTGCAACATGTACGTGCTTGTCTAACAAGCAGCAGTACCCAAGGTTTTTCAGAACAATTCCCAGTGACCAGTTTCAAGCTGCTGCTCTAGCCAAGTTGATAAAACACTTTGACTGGACTTGGATAGGTGCTGTTCGGTCAGATTCGGATTATGGAAATAACGGCATAGCATCTTTTCTAGAAGCAGCACAGAGAGAGGGGATCTGTGTGGAATACTCTTTGTCCTTCTATCGCACCCACCCACATAGCAGGATTCAGAAAGTAGCAGATGTTATCCGCAGGTTTCTATATGACGTGGGAATTTAGTTTCATTTATTTAATGTAATCTTTCATGATGTTATGAGACAGTCAAAAAAATTATTTTGTCTCTAAAGGTCAAAGGCTGTAGTTGTTGTGGCATTTGCATCTTCAGGAGACATGAAGATCCTGTTTGAGGAGTTATCACGTGAGCCTTTCCCACCTCGGCAATGGATAGGCAGTGAGTCATGGGTGACCAACCCGGGTTTAAGGAAGTACAGTTTTCTCGCTGGGACCATTGGATTTGGAATTCAGAAATCTGTAATCCCAGGTTTCAGAAACTTCCTGTTGAATCTCTCTTTTGCTCAAGTGGCTGTATCACCATTGCTTACTGAGTTCTGGGAGGATTCCTTCAACTGCACAATAAAAGAAAGTGAGAAACATTTTTCGTTTTTTGTTTTTCTTGGTTGTTAGAGTTTCTTGTAAAATGTCTGGTCTTAAAAAGGCCAGACATGTTCTTTTTTTGTAATCTAAGCAATTTCAAATCCAACATAATCAAAAAGGTCCGTTACTGCAAAAAATCATAATCTATATGTTTAACCTTTAGGTCAAGTTTAGGCAGTCAGCCAACACTATTACTTTGGCCCCTTTTCTCAAACGTGACTCTTTGTTTGTTGAGTGATATGTTCAAAAGATATGATGTTAAATGGATGAATTCAATTGTCTGTCATTTTGGTGCCTTTTTTATTTTTAGGTAATTCTGCAGGAAAGAAAGTATGTAATGGAACTGAAGATATAAAGACTCTCCAAACCCCGTACACTGATACATCTCAGCTTAGAATTAGTAACATGGTGTACAAGGCTGTGTATGCAATTGCACATGCCATTCATAATGCATTATGTCAGGGAAGAAATGTCACAGCTCAGTGTGACAAACTAACCAAATTACAGTCCAAGCAGGTCAGTAAAAACGAATCAGTCATTGTCAACATGTTTCACTGTCTCTAAGAAACCTTAAGTGAAACATTACTTTTAGTTGTTCAAATATTGTTTTGTTTTTTCTTTCCACTCCCTTTATGTCTCAATTCATCCTTACAGATTCTAACTGAGCTGAAGAACGTAAATTTTTCCCGAAATGGATATGATGTGTCATTCGATGCTAATGGGGATCCTGTGGCTATTTATGAGTTGGTTAACTGGCAGAAAACTATGGCTGGCATAACTGACATAGTGACTGTAGGGCTGTATGATGCATCACTGCCAGAGGGCCAGGAGTTCCAGATTAACAAAAACATCATCTGGATGGAGGGCAGCACGAAAGTAAAAAGTCAAATTAATGTAATCTTTTCAGTTTTATAGCAAACATTTACATATGTTACGCTGCCTTTTTATATTACACAGGTGCCAGTGTCAGTGTGCAGTGGGAGTTGTCCTCCAGGAACTCGTAAAGTGCTGCAAAAAGGAAAACCCATTTGCTGCTATGACTGTACCGCATGTCCTGAGGGAGAGATTAGTAATACTACAGGTAAAGTAAAATGCTTGTCTGTGCATGTAAAATGTTTTTATGATGCAAATCTGCAACATCGAATACATTACAAGAATAAATTTGTAATCTATAAAGCCAAAATTACAAGAAGCACCTTAACTCCTTTTTTTCTCCCATTCAGATTCTG